ACAGACTGGCGCCCAATCTGGTGGAGAGATAACAATTGACATGTACAATGTACCGTTTCAGACCACATCTGTAAACGCAAGATGCCCACCTGCATTTGGAGGAGGAAGTCGTCGACAATCTGAGCCCTAGAAACAACAGTGCTCTCCTACCTCTGCATCTCAAGTGCAACGTTTACAATGTTTTCCATGTGGTGATGCTGAGGAGCAAACATGGACTGGTTGCTCAAGAAACGCCTACAATTATCTAGGAGACTTCCTGGCAGACACAATGGTGATGTTGTGAGTGGGGACTTAAAGGACCAAGAAGATGAATGTCCAACAGAGAGGGACTACTCAGGTGTAAGTGATTTCATGTTCCCTCTTCAACCTGGCGTTGACGCCCTACCACATAGGCCGAACAGTGATGAAGGAATAGATCATGCCATCTATGCCGATGTTCTGAATGCGTCGACGACAGCCGACTGAGCAGGAAACCGATGGGACAGCTTGCAGGAGGCGTTGTAGAAGACTGATGCATTCCTGATGGACTGCAGTCTGGAGTTTGTTCGGGAGAAGTCGAAGATGTTAATACCAAAGAAACGAGCAAGTGAAAAGCGCCCACCGAAGAAGCCGTATCAGGAGAGTACTCTCAACGGGCTCACCATCGCGAAGGTCAATACAATTCGGAGACTAGAGTTGAATGTGCAAGGAGGTGGAGCAAGAGCAACCACAGTGCTGCGGCTGCAGGGGACGGTCTCCTAAGCCACACATAATGAGAAGGGGCAAAATTGCGAGCATGCGCTCAAGGAGCAGAATTCACTGAAACTCGCGCAAGCCTTGGCGGTCAGCAGGATTACATATGGAACTCCGTTCCTGGGGTTTTGAAAATGAACGAATAAAAAGAGATCAACGGGGTCGACAGGAATGCAAAAGTTGGCATAGTGGCTACCTGCAACAACCCCGACGGAGAGGGTCATGGCACTTGTGGTCCGGGACTTGTGGGAATAGATGGTAGAGGCCCACAAAACAAGCCAACTAAAAACACTTGACCTCACGGCCGTAGGCAAAGCCATGTTGAAAATGCTCGGCTAAGTACCGATGGGGAGAGAAAAGACAAACAAATGATCCCGTTGGATGTGAGACATAGAATAATAGTGGAGCCCATCCTGAAAAATATGTGAACGAAACACTATAGGGAGCGGAGGAGAGCCAAGGCAGAAGGTCTCAGGAAACGATACGGGGGAAAGATAAAGAAATGCTGCCATAATGCAGAGAAAGAAGCAGATTCTTTCTGCTTGGTAAACGGCAGCGTAAAAGAGCTGGCAGTGCGACAGTTAGGACGCACGTGACAAGCGGCGGAAGAAACGAACATCGCTTTGGCAGCTACGACGAGCAGGGACTACATCACAACAATCACGGACTAAAAGGCAGATTGCATAAATTTTCGAGATAAAAGAGTTGCAGCAGCGGCCCTTCAGGTCCTGACAAGGAACAGAGAGCTTCCGAAAAACCTGACAGTCTGGGCCCCGGGGCACGAGCACCTGGCAGAAAACAAGGCGGCCCACGCTTTGGCTCGAGATTGTACTCGTCGTATATCATTTACGATCCATCGAGACCTGTTGCTCCCGGAAGAAGGTATCCCGGAAAAAAGTGCAAAGATGCTGGAACACTACAAGCTAGGAAAAAGGGCATACATGGAACCTCACACGAAGCTATCCAGGGAGGATGTAGTCTCTTGGATTCATCTGCGAAACAACACATCTGCACATCGTATACATTACCCCTTGATACATCCAGCATCCTACGAATATAACTGCAAGTCATGCAATGCGCCCAAGAAATTTTACCCCATCGCACGGAGATGCCAGGGCAGCGCGGCGATACAACCTTCAGTAGGACTCACAAAAGAGCACTGGGAGAGAAATCGTGACAAAATGACTAGGGAAATTTCGGAGGAGTTTTTCATAAGGATCTGCGGCGGCGACACGTGCATTGTACGATTCGAAGGCGGCGTATTCACAGTCCTTTGTTAGCTCAAGCTAGAAAGATTATATGTAGATTATTGGACAATGTGTTTATATGACGTGGATGTTTGTTGACAAGGCATATATCTTTCTTCTTTGGTTTAAGTCAGATTAAACCTTAGGTGCAAGTGCGCTTGACGGTGTGTATGTTCTTTTACTGGTCCTAATAAAGAAAAAATAATTTGCTAATTTCAATGTTTATAAAAAAATATAACGCATTTTGCTGATTCGGGAAGTGTTTTCCTCCGATACTGCATTCACGCCAACGCTTTATTTTTTATTTAGCTTTTGTACTTATCTTGCTGCTAGAGCAAGATTTAAGTGGAAAAGATTTGGTCTTTCTTTTGAGCCGAGATTAAATATTTTTTTATGAAAGCTGGACGGATGTCAGGCGGCCTATGTAATAAAAATGGAATTAAAACGTTCAAAACAAGATTAAATTTGTTGTGACTAATAACAATAACCTTGCATAAATTACGTTTCTTTTATTGATAGCTTGCTTGAACAAATTTAACAAAAGATTTATATAAAATTGCAGCCTTGCAGAATTAGTCTTAATTTTATTAAATCAATGATAAAGGAAGCTGAAATAAAAACCATTAAGAGCCACTTTCTCGCCATCTTGGAGGAGCGGTAACAAGGCAATTCAATTTATCGCAAATCATATTGTGTTGAAGTGACATTAGCTCGGACTGCCTGAGACTGACAGTTGAACCTAAAAATGTGACGTCTTGTTGACAGTTTAGGCTTACTGTGCTTGGATTTGAGAAGTCTAATGTCACTTTAACATACGGCACTCATCCATAAAACCGCATACCGCAACCTTTCGCGTGTGCTTAACGGTTTTGCTCGTTGTTTGTCGCCTTCCTTTAACATTTCGTTACGTCAGTGTAAGATTAATTTTCTTCACATTCGTGTCACAGATTAGAGTGAACATTCATTTAATGACAAGCAGGCAGGTGCGTTGCGCCGACAAGTTTCTGGCATTATGATTAATATTGAATAAGAAGAAGGAACGTGTTGTCATCACCATCGGGCTCTTAACAAGTATGACGTAAAAACCAAATCCCATTGCAAAAAAAAAAGTATAGGTCAAGTTTCCAATTATTTTGCGGTGGCGCAGCCCTTTCTAAATTTAATGAAGGAAACCCTCTACGGGCTATGACGACATCGTAGCACTGTATAAATACCCGCAAATCTCGCCGAAGTTTTTACCAGCAGTAGCTGTCCCCTTCACCATGTCTGAAGGCGTGTGTTTTTTACTCACAGTAATGCTAACTGTATGCTTTGGAGGTGAGTGCCGATTTCACGTGAGGGCGTACATACATATACAGCTGGAATTTGGAAGGTTATGTCGACGATCTATTGGGAGCTTACGTACAACCTAATTTTCATCCTTGCAAGCACTTTGGTTTTGAGACAACTGTCTGCTAGCTTACTAACATTGATGAAATCCATCAGAGCACTTATTTAGATAGTGGTAAACTGTGAAAGTAATTGTGTATCTACGTTAAAGTAAATACAAAAATTGATTAATTTAATTATTATTGATAAATATCACAGATTTCGCTCATTCTGGGAGTAAATTTGTCCGATACATCATGAGCTCATACGGCTGATTTATCATTTAGCTCTTGTGCTGAATTTGTGGAACTATTAGGTAACAAATAGGGTAAACCATAATTAAAAAAGGCAAACTTTATTGATGAAAGAGAAAACGAAATCGTTCCGGAATGCTTTCCGCCCGCCTATACCAAGCATGACTTAGTCGAAAACTTTTTAATACTTAAATATTTTTTTTTATGTTGTGTGGAATGTCTTCAAGATTCATGTATATATAGGTACAAATCGTGATCACCATCAAGGTGAGGGAAAAACTGTCGAAAAATCAATTTTACTTTCGTTCATGCCACCTTTTCGAGTAAGTAAGGATGACTAAATGACTCTAAAATTTGCATCCAGCAATTTTATTCTGTTTTTTTATGTAATTGTTGCTAATGATTTCGTATACCTGTCGAGTTTGTAGTTTAAATATATTAAAAGTTTACAAACATCTAAAGCGAAGACTGACCCAAAGGAGCATTTCTAAAACTGTGCTCGTGCCACCTTGCAGCTGCAGAATTTCTTGCCAATGTTTTTTTTTTCGATTAATACACTAAATCATAAACGTTAGAAGGTTTTCAGTTTTATTCAACTAACAGTGATATATATTAGCTGGACACTAAATCATAACGTTATATCAAACATCTTTGAGAAATGTATGAAGGCCCGTTCACACTCTTGCGACATCTTAAAACTGGGCTCCTTAAAACATCTTACAACGAGTGGACACACGGGCGCCATCTATTGGGTAGCAGTGTAAACTTGGCGGTCCGGCATACTTTCTATTTCTCTCGAGCATTATTCTTTCTTTCCTGTCTCGAAAAACTTTTGTCAACGTTATAAACGAGCCTTTCTTATAAATATTACGCACATTTGACCTCAGAAATTCCGCAAAACCTTCGCTCTTGTGAAATGCAGTTCCAGGGCCACCGCGTAGATGGTGCCAGCGTGCCAGTGCGTTCTCTCGTCCTAAGAAATTTTAAGGAAGTTTTTAAGGTCCGTTCACACTCTTGCAACCGAGTACGACCGACAGAGACCAGACCGGTTTTTAAGCCTCTCGCAATCTCTTCGGACCAGCTCCGCTGCACCGCTTCCGGTCCTAAGAAGTCGCAAGAGGCTTAAAAACCGGTCTGGTCTCTTTCAGTCGCACTCGGTTGCAAGAGTGTGAACGAACCTTTACAGATCTCATCTCTCTCGGTCGTACTCGGTTGCAAGAGTGTGAACGGTCCTTGACGGTTTTCTTTTTCTTTTTTTTTTTTGTAGAATTTGGGCAACGCACATTCAGGAGTCAAACATTTTTGGAAGTTAGTCACATGATAAAAGATTCGAGAATTCATTCGAGCCTCCAAGTTCAACGTTGAACACCTCTAACTGGGACGAATTTTCTCTTCACAGAATCGCCTATGGAGGAGTTTGTGTACCCGAGAATTCTCGAAGCGAGAGGTGCAAATGGCGAGAAGATGCTCCACATTCGAGACGGGCTTACTCTGAGCTTAGAAAAGAGCCAAGTGTTTTCCGAAAACTTCATTTTTGCTAAGGGTGATGATGTAAACGACTCCAACAGTTCTGTAAGCACATATACTTGAAGCACACTTTTACGTTAAAATAGACTCGGCTTAGTGCGTTTGTATGCAGTCGTTGAAACTGCCGGGTTCAACTCCCTTCCTCGCTCTACGCTTCTCTGTATTTGTGAATTGTACGTTATGTATAAGCTATTGCACTGTGTGTTCCAAATGAAGTTTTACACATAAGAAACAGTTTTTTACTCAAAGTATATTACTCATCCTGGTAAAGCTCTCTGGGGTATGCGGTTATTTACTGTTTCCCAGCACGTATATCATATGCAATCAATTATACGTCACTGAGTTTTAAACGCGTTTGCGATATTCAATATTTCAAGATAAAAATTTACTGCAAATGCTAAAATTCGTGCAGCCGTCGAGTAGGCAAAAAACCCTACGGGGAGAAGTTGATTATCGAAATGGTACATATTATCTTCGGCTGGCTTCTGCGCGATTATTGCCAATCCCAATTAACACTTCCCCTTCTGCATGTAAAAACATTCGAATCGCATAGTATGAACTTAAGATCTGAGCTGTGATCATCACAACTGCATGTACAAATGGCTTTCGCCATGTCCCAGAAATGCAATCACCGTGTTGCTGAACGGGTGGTTACGATTGATAAGTAGTGGTTTTGATCATTGCCTGAGATTTTAAAGCAAGTTGGAGTGACGTCTTCTAAAAGATGCAAGCTCTGCGCTCTTATTAAAGACAATCAAGCTTTCTCTGTGAGTGCCTATATTCTATTTTAAAATTAAAATGAACTTTTTAAAAACATATTTACTGTACACTTATGACGGAACCGCTAACACGAGTCCAAATTCGGTACTGCCATGATATTTAATCAAAATGAACTGTTAGGGCTAGTTTTCTATACAATTTTAATAATCAAAAGCGCAAACAGCAGGGGAAAAAAAGAGATGATAGGAATTAGCGCATTGTCCTTTCACCTCTTATAATCCTTGCTGTTTGCGCTCTTGATTTTTAACAATGTACTGGCATGGTGTTTACAATTTATATGCCGCCTACGTTTATGTGATATTGGGATACCATGCATAATCAAAGTGTGGGCTCATGGCTTTTTGAGCGATAATTTTACATCGAAATAGCTCATGATGGTGTTATGTGCTCAAGAAAACGTGTTTATAACGACGTCTGCAGCTCTGCAATTAATGCTCCCGCGTTGTTTCCAGCTGAATGTCAAGGAAATTGAAGAGAGTTTGTACCAGGACAGGAAACACGGCTCCTCTGTTGTGGTCCAAGAATCAAATGGATATGTCCAAGTGGTATGGTATACACGTCTTATTACTGATGAAATTCGAGAATAAAATAATATTCCACTCTAATTCGTAACCATTTAAATATCTGATTTTAAGTTAACCTTTGCAGACTGGTATCCTCACTGATAGTTTATCAATCGAGCCAGTATTATCTAATCAACGATCGAAAGACGGAATCGTTGCTCACTTGATATCGAAGTTTAATGATACGTCCATCCCGATGTATGCTGATCATGGTAAGGCCCACTTCAGAATCTGTTCAAAAATATTACTACAAAATTAGGCGGAATATTTTACAACAGGTGAATAAAACCCTGATCAGTTTTTTGATTGATTAGTTTATTATCAAGTTAAATATATGGTTTCTATTGTGTGTACTCTTCAGGGCGGCAGTTATTTTTTCTTTGTTGTCTAATCCTATTTTCTGGATACTTACAACTCACGTGCATTTTTGTTCTAATTTTATTTTGTTAAATTTTTGTATTACGTGTACCTGACTTTGGTATGTTGACTACTGATAAAATACGTAAGGCTATTGATAAGTTTTTATACATCAAATAAATGAATACGAGATGCCATGTATTTTTGTAGTGAACTATTCCTACCAAACGGAATCAAGCTACTTTGCTTTTACTCGCTCCCGAACAAAATGTTGGCTAAAATTGATCAGTGAGATATATGCAGTTTTTTTTACTTTGCAGTTCATTATACACACTTAACAAAACGAGAAGCTAGGGGCGACATCCACAGAGGTGAGTGAAAGTGAATAGTTTTAATTGGTCATTCACGCGACAAAACGCATGAAGTTTATTCAGAACATTAAACACAATTAGAATTCTTTAGTATTTATAGAAACCGGCACATTATTACGTACATTGAGTAAAATAATTCCTTTCAATGCGATATTATAGATTATGACGATATTCTTCAGTCTGGAGATTATCAACAGTAAGGGTCAATAACAACACCTCGATTTCTTATGCTCATCCTATGTAAAACAATCTATTGATAAAACGAAGCTGATAGTTTACAAGCAACGCTTTCAGTTTATTTTCTTTATCTTCAATTGCATTATTTAAACTCATCTTGCCCTTGTGCGGTGCCGTGTGGGAATCATCGTTCTGAATATTTAGAAGCGATTATATATCATTTTTGGCCTTGCGAAATTTATTCACTTCTTCTTTGAAGTTTTCAAAAAACAAAATTACGGGGAATTTGTTCTTGTTTCTTTGAGCCGGGGGGTTCCAGCCACGAATGAGTAAAGTATACAATTTTTAAAGTAATTTTTAATCGTTTGTTTTTCGCCCGGCCTTTTGTTTTCTTAATCGAATTCGGAACACAAAATATGCAGAGGTCTGGGCGAAGATTGGGCTTTTGTGTTGTTGTTTAAGGCCTTGAGAAGCAGAACAAGCCCAAGTCGGGCTTAACGTTACCCTCTTCGAAAACTGTCTGGGCATGTTGGCCCTGATACACCAAACAGATGCTATAGTTATGATTCACTCCATGGTAGTTTGGGTGTCATCTAGAATCTTCGGCCCAAAATTGCCAAACAAGTGCCAGACTTAGGCTTACTCTCAAATTGTTCTTCTGCCATGAGGCAACTTTTTGCCTAAATATCCAAAAAAACTTCCACAGTGAGCTTTGACCTCCTTATGATTCCGCAGTCATCTGGCCACTCTTGGACAAAATGGCCAAGCAAGTGCCAGAGCTAGGCTTTCTGCCTGGTAGTTCAGGTATTATCTGGGACCTTAGGGCACAGATGGCTCAACAAGTGGCAAAGTTAGGTTTTATTTCTTCATTGTTCTTTTAGGCATATTTGGACCCAAATCGCCGCACAAGCACCGCAGCAATAGGTTCACTCCTCCAAAACTAGGCTTCATTTCCAGTTAGTTTGGTTGCCATCTGGCATATCTCAGACTAAATTCGCCTGAAAAGTGACAAAGTCATGCATACTTTTTGCAAGTTCGGTGCGAATCTGCCGTTTTCACCCCAATTTACCGAGCAAGCGCCAGAGCTAGGTTTTATTTTCTGATAGTCCGTCTACCATCTGATATATTTCCACCTTACGCAAATATGTGCTGTGGCTTAGAAAGACGACTAGGTCAATATCACTATGGTGGATATGAATTGGCTAAAAAAACACCCACGCATGGCCTCTCCCTCTTTTTTGACATCCAAAACCTTGGCTACATTCCGTTATCCCATTGAGCCGCTGTGAACCAGATGCGACTCCTACGCACTTTGCATTTGTACATATCGTGGGTTTTTCTCTGGTCCTGAAGCTGATGCAAACAAACCGTCTCCCTTCTCTGCTCAGTATAAAGCAAAAAAGAGGTATACCATATTTACTTACAGTCGAACCGATATTTCAGCAGTTCCAGAGTTAGGCAACCAGGGGAAATCTCGCTGGCGTTTTTTTTATATACGTATGGGGATAAATAACCGATCGAGTATTGGCAGGGTGCTGGTGGCCTGTCACGTATTCAAAGAAAATATAATTGAATTTCGCTCACAACATTTTTATTCAAGTTTGGGTGTCTTGTTAATTTTTTACCATAATGTGGGCTAAATATTTTGCCGCAGCTGTGCAAGACAACGTGTATTTTTAAGCCGCAGAATGTGCTCGATATTTTTGCCCGCGCGTTGGTAAACGCGTCATCGTCAAGAGTTGCTTATTAGCCAAAGGACGCCCCTGCGACTGCTTTACCGTTACCAGAACTGCTACCATCCCGCGAGCGCTGCACGATACTGACGTAAAAAGGTCTCCTCAACACAAACAATTATCATGAGACGTGTTGGAAAAGTGGGCATGGCTCTCTGCTTGGCTTGCGTTGTTACTGATTACTGTTAAAGCATGGTCATAAAAAAGTCGTTGATCTACAGTGTACGCATGCTTCACACTCCGCGAACCCAAAATCAAATCTTAACGGCAGCAACTTTTTTTGGCATTTGGCGATGCTAAGGAGGGTGACGAAATATGATAATCCTGCGTCAAACGCTTTTGTCGGTTTTGCCATAGTGTATGTTAGGCAGCACTCTTGTGGCTAACAAAAAAAAAAGCCAAACTTAAGCGTATTTTAGGTATTTCCTTGGCATTTTCAGCACCAAATTTGGCACTCCAGTGGCTGGCAAGAGGAGGATCAATCTTTGGCATTCTCCTGAATCCCTAAATAAGATTTATATTCGGAGTTGTGCCTCAAGTATGGCACTTACATTGGCACTCTTGATAGAAGACAACTTTAACATGATTCAGGATTGCCGAACTAGGGCCATAGTTAGTCAATTTGCCACAGACAAGCGCTATGGAGCAAAATCTCACGAGGTATAAGTTAGGCCCTTCCGGGTTCTACACTTCTGCCAAGTTAGGCGCTTGTTCGGCGTCGTACCTCGGTAGAATGCTGATTTTTATTATAATGCATTTTGCAACGCGCAATAATGCTGAACATGCCCAGAAAGGTGTAAGGTGTAAAAAATAAAAATAAAATGATTAAAATCAAGGTTTTCATTACTACATTCCACATTCAAATTTTATTTTAGTGGCAAGACAACGCCTGCGGAACTTGCCAGAAACAGTAACGGTTGAAACGAGAATAGTCTACGACGATGCTCTTCAAAAACTGAAAGGAAGGAATCTCAATCAATATTTGGGAATTGTAATGAATAAGGTAAGCCTTTATGTAATTGAACTTTGGACGTTATGAATGTTATAGAAACAAAGCTGCGGACGTAATGGTTTGAGTCAAGTCGTCACTTGCGTCGTCGGCGCACTAACCAATATCAAGTTTTCAAGATATTGATGACATGACTGAAACGACTCTTTCAAGTGTAGTTCTGATGAGCGCTTATGGCGCCTCGTTCGTGCAATCTACAAGTTTCTAGGACATACATGCCATGGCGCATGTATTATATTAAATTTTCAACTGGACATTAAGGAACATCTTAATTAATGTTCCATTGGATTGTTTATATCACAGTCATAAAGAATAAGTAAGCTCTAATTAAACCTTACGACGCGTTTAGCTTTCTTCCTTGGCTCCTCATTTCTTTTTTGCATTGAATCTTATAAATTACATTAAAAAATTTTATAATTTTTCTTTTCTTGAGGAAATATCAAAGTGTTCGCCATTACCCGGGACTGTAATTACCCATAAATTATTTTAAAAAATTCATTATAATTTTGATGTTGTCGATAAACTTTTTTGACACTGAATGTCCCAAGAAATTGGCCATCGTAAAAAAAAAAAAAAAAAAAAAAAAACGTGCTAAGAAACGCGGTGATTGATAAAGAAATAGCAAACAGCTACATTGTGGAACGATTTTTCATTTGATCTTGTCTGAACACGAACTGTAATTTCAGTCGATACTGAAAATTTCAACACAACTCCTTAAGCCGATAAATAAAATGTCAATTGAAGAATGTTAATTACTTGGCTAACTTACCATGATTATCGCCTTTTCTTTTGTCAGCCGAGCCTACTACTTGGTGAATAAAACACTCGTATATTTTCCCCTCTCTAAAAAAGTAAAATTGCGTAATAAATAAAATAGCCTGATAAGGTCAAATATTTGATAACCACAGGTATTTTCCAAGTGCTGGGAAGAAATGCGGGCGCAATCGCTGCAGCCACGGGCCCATGCCGGCTGTCGCTGGAGCGTTTCGAATAGGCGTAAACAATTTTATCGGCGTGTGTTTTGCCCTTCTACCTTTGTCTTAAATGATAATTTAACCTTCCACTAGCACAGCCCCGGTCAGTTATGCATAAGAAGGCAAAATTCAGTAAAGAAGCATAGTTGTAAAGGACAGAAATGAAGAAAAAACTCCAAGTCTAAAACGCTCCAAAATTCGAAACTTTATTTAAAGCTTCCACATTTGTTGGCATCTTTTTGCTGATTGCAATATATTGCTGCAAGTTTTTTTTTTTTTTTTGTGAAAAAGTAAACGTTTTCTTTAACAAATTATAAACGACTCCTGAATAATTCGAGATATTCGAGTAAACCAAACAAATCAACCTTGTGAGAGGTCCGTATTTGTAACAAAACGACCGTTCTAGCCTCACTTATTTTATGCCCGTATTAAAGATAATCCGGTCGTCGTTTCGAAGTTAAGATAATGCCGCTGCAGTGGTTTGTCTTAGTATTTTCACACACATTCATTATTTAGGCTAGTCTTACGTATGGCTGGGACGACAACGACTAGGCAGTCCGGGGTTGTTCTGGAAGTGTATATTGTCCGGCAGGCAGACAGAAAGGGGCTCTCTCTGCACAGTGCACATGGCTAAATCTCCTCCAGACAAGCGCTTACCCCCCTGACGGGCCAGAGTTCAGCCCCCCTCCCCCCCTTCCACATCGCACATCGCGACAGCGCTCCATCGAAAGAGCTACAGAACACGATCTATTTTCTGTGCGCACATATCACCGTCTGTAATGTATATTCAAATAGAACAAGGCTAAACAAGCACCTTCCATTTAATATTGTTTGAGAGTGAGGTAACAAGAACCCTGCTTTTAATATTGGTTGAGAGTGAGGTGACAAGTAACAGGTAACAAGGTAACAAGTCAGGTAACAAGTAGAATGAGACTTTACGAGCACGTTCCAATTAATATTAGTTGAGAGTGAGAGAAATTTTAAATTTAGATTTGTTTATATGAACGGCATTCTTACTCTTAACATTTCTTCATGGTTTACAGTTAAGTTTCATACTAAATTATGGCCGGATCAGATTTTACTATTGCATCATAGTCTCGTTACACCAGGAACAATAGCTCCTGGGAGAGCGCTTGCTGAGGTTAGAATTGATAATAAAAGACTATAAAATTATAGTTGATCTACCTTTATTGTGTAGGAGTCTTATTCGTAATTATATATGTTGCATTTCTTAAAAAAAAGAAACTCATCTAGTACAGTGGAAAAACCCTATTATACATAATCTAATACATCCCCCAAGACACCCACAACTCGCCAAGTTTAGAACAAACATAATGCATGTGCATCAGCCCCACAAAATATGTAATGGCATCAGAGACTATTCAACATCCAATATAACAAGCAGTAATCTTAGGAAGCATTGGATAAAAAAAGCGCACTAAGTAAAAACATTTTCCAGGGTAACTTACGACTTGAAGCAAAGCCACAGACGAAGCGTGAGATAGATGCGGAACGTATTTTTATTGAATTATCATATGCTAACCTTGCCTCTCAACGATCTTGACATTTTCGCAGCACGGCATCTCTTAACTATATCGAATGGTTCAGAAGCGTATAATATATTATCGGTAAATTTAACAAAATAAAGTATGAAAACAAGGCAAGGAGGTAATTCACCCTTATAGATTAAACATATTGAACTGATCTTTCACACTATGGACATATATGGGTCAAGAACCAACCATTCATTCACCGATTTGTGTTTTTTGATATTTGCCAATATAGCTTAAGACCACAACGTTTTGCTTTTTTTCTATTTGTGACTCATAAGTGAGTTGAGTGCACAAACTGCCTGATACGTTTTGCAGTGATTACGAAAAACAAAATGAAGGAAACAATGAAGAGGCTGACTAACGGAAGGATCTTAAAATGTTTTTCTGCGAAAAATCAATATGGCACAGAATAGTTTGCCTGATGAATTCCTGCCCTAGGCAAAATTTAATAAAACATTTATTATATATTAAATGTTTATATATATAGAATGAAAAGAGGACGATGTTTCTCAAGGTAGCAGCACTAATCTTTGAACTCCAGAGTTTTTGCTTGATTTTGCCTGTTTTGGAGGTTTATAGCCCCCCAAAAGACGACGACGGAGCATGGGAACCCTCCAGGAGCCGGAACGAAGAATCTTCTGACAGTTTGGACCAGAGCAGCAAGGCAGAGAACCTGAATGAAGGCCTTGTCAAACGCAATAGCACCGACGGCCAAGCTAAGCCTAATGGCAGCTGCTGACGCGACCAACGCAGCGATAGGGGTGAATCCACTCTTCACGTTGGGAAAAGGCTTTTTGCTGACCAAGACTGCACCGACCCTCGGCCAGAAATCCCGGGAGGGCAATCAGAACACCACAAGGGCTCCAAGCGATCCTACAACCAATGACGCCGAGCAACAGCAGCTATGCCTGGTGGAGGCGATCCTGACGTTCGACGAGGCGGTGAGAGCCGACGATCACCACATTGAACTTGATGGGTCGGGACAGCCGACACTCCGAAATTCGGATTCTCTGAGCTCTGCCGATATGAATTCTCACCAAGCTTCGCGGAGCTCGCGTAACCCATCAGGTGATGTCGTGATGGACCAAGCTGCTTGGTCAACCGTCGTCTCTAGAGGCGCCCTGAAGAAAGCGATAGCGCCGAAACTTATGAAGAGACAGCCGGGAGGTGGTGATGACGAACACGACACAGTCATCTCACGACCACGTGAGCGAGTGCGTGTAATAGAGTTGTCGCCAAAAGATCTGAAGACTGCCCTAGCAAAGGCTATTCACGACCATTCCAAATACGATAGGTACTATCGAATTAGGATCCAGGAGGTCACTAATATCATTGCGATGGAAACTTGGTTTCCACACGTTGCGGAGCACTTTCTAAAGCTGAAGACAATACGAACACCAGACAAGGAGACTCCAGTTTCCTCATACATCGCCGTGAATGGGGACCAGGTCAGAAGGGTAATCTGCGGGATTGACACGACCAACGATCCAGAAAACCTGCTACCGAACCTGGTCAGCACTACACACTGGATCCAGAATGCGAGACCGATGGACAAGAACGGTAAGACAACCCTAATCACTTTCGAGGGTAAGAGAACCCCAAGGTATGTCACACACTACGATTCCATGAGGGATGTAAGTGAATACAGACCCCGCGCAGTTGTGTGCACGCATTGTCACGCTATCGGACACAAAGTGGACATCTGCCCCAACGAAGAAGAGCAGAGATGAAGGGACTGCGGAAGGGAACACACGCACGGAGAAGATGGCTGCGTGGACACCTCTCCGCAACGAAAGAACTGCAAGGGGGCACACCTGGCCACGGATTCCTTCTGTCCCGAATGGAGGGAGGCCAACGAACAGCTCCGACAGAAGGGAAAAACGAGGAAGAAACCCGCACGAAACAGACGTCAGGCACCTCAATAAAGACGATCATCAGACAACGGGCCGAGGGAGAAAAGCACGCAACGGGACCGTCCTGCGCAACTACCCAAGGGAAAAGAGGTTATTACGCCAACTCCGCCGTCAAAGAGTAAAGAATACTTCCCAGCGCCTCCTAAGACGGTGATAGCAAACGCAAGAAGTACGATAGAAAAGAGAGAGAGGACGATGATTTTCCACGCATGGTTCGAGCCATGAAAGCCGCTCTCATGGGTTCCAGGTCACGAATACAGACTCGAGGACAGATGGAAACAACAACCCAACGACATTCTGGGCAACAACAACACCAAGCCACATACACGGCGGCAAACATGTGCCAGGAAAGCTCAGATAGAAACCAAGCATTGGAAACACAGGCGGAATTCAACACCTCAATGGAAAAAAAATTATCGCCAGCATCAAGTCCGATCTCCAGAACACCATCATGAGCGTGGTCAGGGATCCTGCAAAAGAACTTAAAACCATGTTATCACCCATTCTGCACGAGGCTGTCCGCTCATTGTTCCAAGGAAAAGAAAATAGTGGTA